CTTCGAATGGTTAAAACGGAAGCCAATCTTGCCTCAACTCGGCCTCACTTGAGATCATTCATGTAGACCTGTTGCCGGGCCTCCTTCGAAAGGCCCTTTCTCGCCTCGAGCTTTGCACAACTGTCGCGCTTAATGTAGTTGCTCTTCTTGGGCTCCTCCAAAGCATCGATCAATAACCTCCAAATCGTCAGGTTTTTCGGGAAGGACAAGGCCAACATCTTTTCCAACTCACTTGATAAAATATTTTAGGCTCTCGGGCGAAGGGAATTCGAGCGTGGCTGGAACTGCAATGGGGAAAGCGGAATGTTGTGTCATGTTGGGATGAGTGGATTAGCGGAAGTGTGGAAGCGTGGAAGTGTTGTGGGATTAGCATTCAATTCCGCTAGTCTTATATAAGTTCAGCATAGCTGTGCTTGTGGGTCCGAACATATCTATTATCTTGTGGCAACAAGTGAGTCTGGTCCCAACAATAGACCTGACAGAAACAATAAATAACCCCATATGGAGCTGGCATTGAACCATAACCGCACTACTGACTCAGAGACTGTGCCGCCTGTGTCGAGTCGTTTAGCTGTATTGTACTTGGATCCAGATAAAAAAGACAAGAGGGCCTACACTGCTCTCTACGCCTTGGATGAAATGAAGGCACAGAGTTGATCGGACGCGGAAGAAAGCATGCTCTATATAATGGCGTGCCATAAATGGAAGTGTTTAAAGCGTGGGCTCGATTGTGATCGCACGTGATCGCGTCTGTGGGACCGCTGACTCACACTGACAGTCACACCGTAAAGTTTATTTCGTCCTCCTCGACCTCAGCCTGCTGGTTCTCGTTCTGCCCGAGGCCTCGAGGCTATGAAGGCTTTGTCCCCTCGCGACTTGCCCGCGACCAGTCCAGTATGCAATATCAATATTCCAGATTCTGTGTTTCTGGCGACTCGGCGATTTGTTTTTATTTCTCAGTCTGCCCCTGCATCTGAGCTTCCCTTGGAGGCTCTGCCCTCCCTTCTGAACTCTCACTGATGTCACTTTCTCTCGGGCGATTCGGTATCCTACAGTGTCTCTGCAAGGTTCGAGTCGGCCATTTCAAATGTGGGGTGCGCCGGCTCAGGTCAAACGAGCGACGTTCACGGTTCTCCTACACCTTGCTCCCGTCGCTTTGTACCCAGGCTTTGAATCACTGCGGACCCAAAGCTGTTTTTGCAATTTCTTCCACTTTGACTCGGACACCGTCTCACCGAAATCCTTGCACAATGCACACTGTCGCCGTACATACACACCTCGCATTCCATCCAGGCCTCCTTCCCATTCGCAATCAGCTCATGTTTCCATATCATCCATGGCCCTCGAATGGCAGGCCATCATAGCTATGCACATACCTACCACAGTCCTATCCCAGCCTATCCCTTCCTATCCACATCGTCATCCATGCCCTCGGCCAGGCAACCAACGTATTGCTTCCTTGCTCCCTCAAATTTTGATTCGCCTTCGAAGAGAGCACTGCCCGCACACTCACATTTGATTTTCGAGTTGAGGTGAAAGCGCAGGTGCTTGCCTGCGGTTTAATATCGGGGCGGGAAATCCCGCATCGCGTTGGCGACCACCGTCTGCCCTTTTTGTCCTTCATTTTTGAGGGTCACAGGAAACCCGGGCAAGGCCGGTGCCTGGGTACTGTGCAGGGCAAGGGCATGTTTCTCTCCTGCGGGCGGCCTTGCAAAACTGGACGCGACTTTGCTCAATCTCGAGTCTTCCGTCGAATTCCACTCCAAAGTAAAATATAAATCGCATTTTATTCGAGCGCATTCGAGGCTTCCAGCCCAACCAGTATAATTCTACAATTCAGTTCAGTTCAGTTCGGTTCGGTTTCGGTTCAGGATTCGGGGTTCGTAGTCAGGTAAGGTGAGTCAGGTAAGTGGGTGAGTGAGTGGGTGAGTGAGTGAGGTATGGAACGAATTGAATCGGGGACGGGGACGGGGGAGGGGGAGACAATAAGAGATCATAAGATATCGTGAGGGATTGGATTGGAGACCATAGTCATTAGAGTAGAGCGCATGGGAGCATGACGGACGACATTATAAGGGAGAGACGGAGACGAGACGATTAGGCATGGATGAAGGGATGGAGGGAGGGGCGGAGGTCGTAGACTGGAGAGGCTGAAGGCTGAAGGCTGAAGGCTGAAGCACAAAGCACACACCCACCCAAGCCCACCCGCGCCCTCCCGACACAGGAGAAGACCAGTTAGGTCATCCCAAAGCCCTGCAACGCCTCCAACCGCTCCTCCAATCCCTTCCCCAGCCCCTCGCGCTCCCACTCGCCCCCCACATCATCCATCAACCGGTCCTCCTCCGGCCCAAACGCAAAGTTCCGCAAGCTCGGCGCGCCGCTCTCCCCATACGCGGACCCCGCGCCCGTGCCCGCGACGCCGTCCGCGACGCCCGGGATGTGCGCGGGCGACGTCGCGGGGGACGTCAGCGCGCTCAGCGGCTGCGTCGCCGTGGGCGTCGACGACAGCAGGTCCGCGTACGACACGAACGAGAGGCGCTTGTTCGCCTGCGACGCGCCGGGCGTCGCGGGCTCGAACTGGCGCGCGGTCGTCGGCGGGGACGAGCCGGGCGCGGGGACGGGCGCGGGCGAGCCGGCGGCAGCGTGCTGCGTCTGCTGCTGCGGGGGCGGGGGGATGCTGAGGAGGAGGGAGTTACGGTTGCCGCCGGCTGCGCGGGGGCTCGGGCTGGGGCTGCGCGAGCGGAAGCTGCCGATGGGGGAGGCGAAGCCGCTGCTGCGGCTCCGCAGGCTTTGGTCGATGGGCGGCGCGGGGGCGGTGACGGCGATGGAGTCGCCGTCCTCAGCGGTCATAGAGGTGAGGATGGAGGCTGCGCTGTCCAGGACGGAGGGCACAGACTGGTCGAGCGCTTCTGTGTTCTTGGAGCGAGCGATGCGATGCGGGTCTTTCTTTGCTCCAGGCACGGCTGGAGAAAGACCGATGGGCTCGATGTCGCGCTCGAATATTGCGGAGGAGGAAGAGTGGCTGGAGGGCTCGGTCAGTACATGGAGGATCATCGTGAAGATACACCAGTGGCAGTGGCTCATTTCCAGCTCTCCGCGAATGGAGGAGAGAACTGGAATGGACGGCAAATTCCGAGTAACATGGTCCGCGAAGAATTCCACCGCGTCTTCACGAAACGAAATGGCTGCCTCATGCTCCGAAGTCCGATCTCCTCGCTCCCCAGCGGGGACAACGGCGTCGCCGTGAACGGACGACCGAGCGTGGGGTATTCCGCACTCGGGCCACAAGAGAAACAAAGGAAAGAGACCTACACAGAGGTAGGACTTGACGGAATTGACGACGGTGATTTGGAGCCCTTCCGGGCTATGGGTTGGAGGTGCTGGGATGTTCTGCGATTATCGCCAGGAGCCAGGGCCAAAACAGTGGCAGAAGTCATATGGCGGAGGTCGATGGGTGGTACAGCAGGCGAAGACCTGGTAGACGACCGAGTGGGGACTGTGAGACATATGTGAGTGGGTTTGGAGGGAAAGAACACGGGGATTGAGGGCGTACTTGGTGCAACGTCGACGGACATGAGTGGAGGAAACAAGGTGTATAGCTTGCTGGTTGCTGAGCTGCGGTGACAACGTGAAACGCAACGATCGACCTTCAAGAAGAATCGTCAATATTTGCCATCTCCCCGAACACCAAATATCGTCCAAATCAGGTTTGCGATTGACGATTAGCTCACAGCGCCACATTCCTTTTCCAACCACAACCTCCGCGACTACCTCGCTGCATTTCACAGTTTACGGCTTTTATTTCGTGGCCCGAAACTCGGTGGTATAGCCAAAATGAGGAACGCTCTCCGACGGTGCTCATCATCTGATCAACCCATGTCACCGCCATCCTGTGCCATTCCTTCGACTGTGTGAGCTTGCCAAGTGTTCATCCTCGCGTTCGGAACAACCCAGAAACACTTTCGACAGCGGGAGATCCTAGGGCTGTTCATACCATTTATCAAACTTGATGCATCAGGCTCTCTGGGTAACACCGTCAGGCGGGGATTGCTGGGCAGAGATATTCATGTGCGAAACATCTCCTTAACATGGTGAGCCCGCGCCTCAAATTCGGTACTCAACACCGGCACTACCGTAAGGGTGGCGCGCATAAATCAAAAATAGTCGACCGTCGGGGCAAAACGCAAGAACTCGGACAATGTCGGGGAGATGTCGGATGCGTCGGGGAGCCATTTCATGTCGGCCCACACACAAACTACGTCGCTCGCGTTCTCGAATCTTGATTCTGGATCAAGCTGTTTTCTCAGCCAGACTTCGAGCGACTTGATCGCTCGCCTCAACGTTGCATCTGTCAGAATTGTAACATTCTCGGGACGCCAACTCCCACTAGACCGCTAGCATCTTGATTCTCGTTCGAATCGGACAATATGGGCTTATCTGCTGCCATCCACTCGTGTCTCAACGTCGGCGCACCAGCTTTGGTTCCAGCACAGGCAAGCGATCTCCGAGTCCTATGTATCTTTTCTGCAGCTATCGGACTGCGCTCGAACCTTTCCAACAGCTACATCCAATTATTTCTGAACACGCTATATCTGCAGACACAGCACAGAATTTGACGCACACTCACGGTTACAGATCCCAACTCAGGTTGAACATTGAATCTGAAAAGATTATTCAACTGAATTTTTGGATAACAGAGTTCCAAAGATCGAGTCTTCAATCGGAAGGCTTGTGTGAGAAACGTCGATTGAGCTACTCAGTTTGCTGTGCTAACTCATGTAGATGATACCTTTTTCAGTTCCAACCATTTCCGAACCTCGACATGCGGTAACAAAATGATTTTGACCCTCTGTACACCAAGACTCGAAACGCGAACCAGTGCATGTGAATTAAAGACGCAGCAAAATAGATCCGAATGGTTTCGACGCGATACAGGAGTGGTACTGATTGTGAAGGTGTCTTTCGAAAAAACACAAAGAAAACTTGATTTTGAAAACATAGGACCTAACCCCGACTCGAACGAGGGTCTCCTGTGCAAAGGACTTGTGGTTATATGTACTTCCAACAGGTGCACTTACCAACTGTGCTATGAGGTCGTGAGGAACTATTGGTTTGGTGAATATAACAATCATCCCTAATCTGGATTAAAATTCAACTTGAACATGATCGCTTGGAGGCATATGCAACTACGTAATTACGAGGTGGCGTAACCCGAAAGGTTTCTTTCACAAGTAAGTCTTATTAGTAAGAAGCACAAGATTTTAGGGGGAAAAAATAAGACTGAAACAACACGAAATCGAACGAGGGTCTCCTGTAGAAGTAACAGCAACAGGTGTACTTGCCAACTGTGCTATTGGGTCCTTACAACTCCCTGCTTGGCCGAATGTGACCATAATAAATGGCTCCCGCCAGCCACAGAAATTGGTTCTTCATCGCAAGATTGAAAATGAGATTCCACGTTGGATTTTCTCAAGAAATCGGGTACGACTCTATTTGCATCTCAGTGCTAATCGAGTCGTCGTCACTGCGGATATTTACATAGAGAGCGAGGCATGAGCAATTGGGAGGCTCCAGGTATTTTGTGAACGTCGGTTGGACTCATGTAGCGTCCCGAACAAGGGACTTAGGTGGGAAAGTTGTGTGGTATTTACTGGATGACGCTCACTGCAACCCTTCTTGAAGCCGCTGAGTTAGAGTGGGACAATTTTGATTTGTATCCAGAGCTGGCAAGGCAGGTCGAAAGGTTCTTGGTTCAACCAGTTTTCAAGATGTCCAAGGTTTGGCGCGGCTATTCTCGATGGCGGATGCTCACTTGATGGAGAGTTTCATTGTAAGAATGATGCAAATTGACCCCTCGGTTGCTAAACCATTCCACAGAATCTCGCAAGAGTCGTGTCACATTGCGTGGAGTATTGGATATAAGAAACCGACTGAGCAGATTTAAAGTTTGGGGCTCGGTCTATGGCGGAGATGTCTGTATTTTTTCGAGTCGGTTTCGAACCTCGAAAGAGGTAAAAGACGAACCCAAGCTCCTAAGGATCCCAGAACATGGAGACTCCGTCGGAACTAAGTTCATACCCACGCTTCGACCGCACTTCACCGCCGGTGGTCCTCGTAAGAGTACAGTTCAACTCCTGACCCAACTGGACATGCGCCCCGACAACGACTCGGTGCAGTTTTGAGCATGTCATCATTATCGCTTGCCCCAAGTCCTCCAGGTCTTGTTCATCCTCCATCTCGTAGACGCGAGCGGAAGCTTGATCATCGAAACGGACGACATTCCGGACAAGGAGAAGAAAGGTCTCCAACCTAGAGAATTTGCGGAGCGTCGCCATGGGCGTAAGTTCTATTAAAGTAGGTGTGCGCTGAATTGCGGAATAAATTGAGGTAGGTCAGAAAGAGATTTGTGTACGTTACATTTTTTCTCTGTTCGGTGACACCCAATTTGACCAACGCAGGCAACATGTCCGAAATGATAATCAGGGTGTCTGAGAGGGTGCTACCGTAGTCCATCCATTGGCCCATGAGATGCAAAGAGGTCAAAGTCCCGGAATATCGTACAAGAGGGGAGTAGTCGTGGTGGAATCTCGTCTCGATGCGCTGCAGTGGTCTTCCGGCTGGCAGGGACTCCAACGATACAACACTGATAGCAATGAGGTTCGGGAGCTGTGCATCGCTGGAAGGAAAACGACCGTAGTGCGTTGTGGTCGAAAATACACAGATCTCCGACTGTGCGTCGAGGAAGCCCATGATACAGTCAAATCTGAAGTACGAGTTGGCAAACTTGATAAGCCGAAACGAGGCATCATTGAGCATCCATCCATCGATGGAGGCTGGGCTGCTGAACGGATACGCGTCAGCGCAGGACACTCGTAGCTCTTTGAGATTGATGCATGCGCCAAGCGTGTCTTTTATCCTCGATCCGTCCAGCGGCGAAAGTTTCAGTGTTTCTGGGAGTCGCAACACAAGGGTGTGCACTCGTTCGGCGAGATGGGAATGACGGGTGACAGCTAGGGCTAAGGACTTGAGCTGGCGCGTCTGGTGTCCCAGATTTACTCTGCGGTACAGAATGCGCTGTGCTTCGTCTCGGAAAGCGCGGGAGGTTCGGCACAGGGTCGCTAATTCAGCCCTATGCACCACTGCCGCGCATATCAAAGAGCAGACTTCGGGCGGAATATTGAGTGACATGGAGGCTAAGGTGACGAGACGAGAATGCACGATCCGTGGACGATGGTGGTCTAAGACAAGACGTTGCCGAGATAATGCAGTGATCGGAATTTGCCGGTTCATCCAAGGTTCATCGATTTCTTCGCGCCGAATAAAATCCTGATACAAGGGTGAACGCGTGAACGCGCGTGAACCGTTGGGGATGTGTCCAAAAACTGCACGGGAACTTTCTATTTCTCGCTCATCAAGTGTCTGGTGTGTTTGTTATCTCCTTGGAATGGCAGTGTGATTCAAAATTTGGTTGGACCCATTTTGAAATCAGTGAAGTATGTTAAAAAGACCGTCGGGCCCAGACCTGGTCTCATTTCCCGTATCTAATAATGATGCATGATGGATCGGGGGAACAATTTGAACGAGAGAAGTACATACATTTTTGAAAGAGAATGATGAAGACGTAAAACGACTCGGAGTCAGTGTCATTCTGCTCTTGCTCCTTTCCCTCACTTCGGTGCGCCGTATTTCACTATTTCACGATGTTCAAAGCTGGAGACCCATGGAATCCTTACGATCCTGATAAGCAACGCCTGAGTCGATCGACAGCATCGCACCGAATTAAATACTCCAGCCTCTCTCGACTTACCGCCCACTCCGGCCGAGTTCATGCGTCGTATGCAAGCCGGGGCCGCCCACGTCGCTTTGTTCAATAATCCGGAAAAAATGGCCGAAATAGAGCGTTTGCGATTGGAAGCTGCGGCGGAGCGCGAGATAACGGGGGAGACTGAGAATGAGCAGATCCTACGAGAGAAACGAGAGTGGGCCGAAGCCGACGCGAAGAGCGAAAAGCTATAAGACGAGGGCAACGACGCGTTCAGGAAGGGAGACTACAAGACCGCCTACGTGAAGTACACCGTCTGCATAATCCAATCCGGTCACGAACCTATCTCCCCACTGAACAGAGCTGCAGCGTCGTTGAGTGAGTTTTCATCCACTTTTGGGATCGCAGTCGGTTATGTACATCGATCCAGAGTTGAAGATGCATGAGACGGCCGTGAAAGACGCGACAACTGCGCTCAAAAAAGGCGATTTTAACCGAGGCAAAGCGTTATTTCGTCGCGCCCACGCAAGGTGCTTTCCGGGGGAGTGGGATAAAGCAGACGAGGACTACACCGCGGCCGTGGCAGTCTCCAACGATCGCAACATCGCGGACGGATTCGAGGAACTGAAGAGACTTCGCAGTTTACCAGCGGATGACCAGAAGGCTTGGATTTCGGCGCAGGAAAATTTGACGTCAGCGGATGTCTTTGGGGATCTTGGGGTGAAACGGCGGGTTGCGGAGATACTGGGTTACACCCTGCCTTGACGCTATGAGGAGGTAAGTCTGTTCCTGCGGTTGCCGAGCTGTTTGTTCTGAAAAAGCGCCAGCGGATGCGTGGGTTAGCTTGTAATCGTTTTCTTGAGCTCTTCAGCAGCATTCTTCCAGTAGCCGTTGAAAGTGAGCACGTCCCAAGTTTACTGCGTGCTGTGGCGGTCGACGAAATTCAAGACGACCCATTGTTGGTAGCGCGCGGTACCCGACGCCCGGCGCGCCGCATGCATAAACAAAGCTATGTTCCTACTCACACCCTGCTCACGCTTGAGACTGGAAATTTTGCTTGGAATCTGTGACTCAAGGCTTCAAGTTGAACACGGCGACATTCACGAAGACACCAAAAGGGCGATATGAATTAGGATATCTGTATACAAAAGACCTGGAAGAAAGAAGAGGGTGTCAGAGAAGGCGATATCCCGAGAGAAAGAGCGAGAAGCGCAGGGCGGGAAAGAGTCAGAAATTAGAATTGCAGAAGTACAGAAATCATCAATCGGACTGGGCCCATATGACTGTTGAGCTTGATATGTGATTTGTATTCATCACATTGAGACGGAGGGGATGCAAGATTGAAGAAGGACGGACTCACAGTCAGATGAGAAGACATAGAGAGAGCTATAGAGAGAGTTTGAAGAATCCAAACAAGTCGCAACACCTTCTACACCTTCCTCAGGCTTCCTGTCATCTTCCCCTTCCAAAAATTACTTTTCGTTGAGCGGCATACGAGCCTGCGTATTCAGCTTCAATAGAAGAAATCTCAGGGCATATGGCGTATGAAGGCTGGTCGAAAGAGGACCTGATCGCAAGATTGACTCAGCTTGAAGCGGACAAACTTGGAGCGTCTGCACGAGTCGCGATTACTCCGCCCCCGTCGAATCCGAGACGCGATGGGAAAACCTTCGACTTCTCATCCTATCCGCGTCGCAAAATTGCCCTGAAATTCTGCTATTCCGGATGGGCATACAACGGACTTGCGATCCAGGCAGATACGACGCCGCTGCCTACCGTCGAGGGGATACTATTTGACGTTCTGGCAAAGGCAAGACTGATAGATCCCGATGCTGGGCTGGAAGGGTGCGGTTGGGAGAGGTGTGGTCGCACAGATCGAGGAGTCAGTGGTGGCGGCCAAGTGATATCACTCTGGGTACGCAGCGCCTTGGATAGCGCGTCAGACGGCCCAAAGGATCCGGCTCGTAAAGACCCCATCGCTCCTCCCGAAGAAGTTGTGGACGAAGAGCACGAATTTGGTGGTCTGGACGGGGATTTTGGCCCGTTAGACGACATGGAGTTTCCCCTACCCAAGAAGCCCCGGACTAAATCTGAGCACAGTTATACGCTAATATTAAACCGCCTGCTACCACCGAGCATCCGTATTCTAGCTTGGTCCCCCGTCGCTCCCGAGTTTTCTTCCCGCTTTGCCTGCCAATCCCGCCATTACAAGTATTTCTTCGCGCCAGATGGCCTCGACTTACGTCTCATGACTGAGGCTGCTTTCCTCCTCGTCGGCTCCCACGACTTCCGCAATTATTGCAAGCTGGATCCCGCGAAACAGCTTACGACGCA